GAGAGAGAGAGAGAGAGAGAGAGAGGGAGAGAGAGAGTGTGTAACCGCGCCTTGCAAGTCTGCACAAACAGCGCAGGCCTGAAACAGGAAAGGTGACATTTTTGAGTAACAACTGGCGAGATCCGACTTCAGACTGTACTGTCTGTACCTGTCCTGTGTGCTAGCCAGCTCAGCCTGGGCAGGTGGATCCAGTCCAGTCATCAAGGTGTGCCCACGCTGTGTTGAGCAATACACCGCTGACCCCCCTCCTCTCTCCCTCCTTCTCCTCGTCTCCAAAGAGCTCTGTCTGGTCTGAGCTGTGGGACTAAGTGAAGAAATACCCAGAGTTTACAGATGGCTCTTCAGAGGTTTGGGTCTGACTTGTTTGCCACTGCTTGCAAACTGCACTTGCATTTCAAAGTGCTAACCACATAAGATTTGTGAGAGTTGAAGTTGAATCAGATGAGCTGTCCTGTACATGTTTGCGAACTCTTTAAAAAAAAAGAAAGAAAAGAAAAACACAAGGGCCGCAGCTCTTATCTCAAACACCTTCTGCCACTTTTTTCTTTTATTGCAATCCACTTCCTGTTGAGAAACTCTCGCTGCCTGTGGCTGGTAGGGCAAAATTTTATTTTGAGTGAAAGGTGAAAGGCTTTGCCTTCGCCGCTTTTTTAATTCACTGCTCCGGCGTGTCAGCACTCAGTCAGTGGCGGTCCTGTTAACAGGAGGTTGAAGTTTCTGCTGAGATGGACAGATGGGGCTCCTCTCTCGCTCGCTCTCTCTGCAGCCTCAGCGAGCAGATCTGTTTTGCGTTGGTTAAAGGAAGTGGTCAGTATTGGCTGAGCAGATTGGCCTCGTTGCTTGAGAGTTTACAACTGAAACTAGCACTTTCAATCACCACGCCTGTTTGTTGTTCCATTGAGGTCAACTGTACATTGTAAGTAGGCTAATTTATGAGAGCGAGGTCAGAAACTTGTCAGCAAATCCAAATGAACGAAGTGCTCTCTAATTATATCAACCACCCAGCTGCTTTTGATGCAAAGTACATATATATCTTCCTTTCTCTCTCTTTATATAGATGTGTATATACAGGCAACACGTTTACAGACTCTAGGGGCATAAATTGGTCATGTGTGTGGAACATAAAAATAAATGCACATTAAAGAAACGCTTCAGAGAAAGCTTGTTGCTGCAGATGTTTTATAGACACTTTGCACTTGATAAGAAAGAGGAATTGCACAGTTACACACACTTGCATAGGAAAAAAACTGAGTGAAATGCTCTCAGGAAGCAGACACTGATTGATATTTAACCCCAAAGATCTTCATTTAACTCTCTCACAAGAAAACGAGACGACCTGAGAAGCCGTGACTCTTTTACATGTGGCTTCTTGTTTTAATTGATCTCTCTCTCTCTCTCTTTGTCTCTCTGTTATCTCCTGCCTCAGATGCCACCGATATGCCTGATGAAACCGGCTCATCAGGCGACCACCACCCACCCCTTCCTCCCCCTCTTCCCCCAAATCTTCCTCCTCCACAGGTCCGGGCTCCTGACCAGGGTCGCGACCTTCTAACCTGCGGCCAGTGCTGTCAGGCATTCCCCCTCGCCCACATCCTGGCCTTCATTCAGCACAAACAGGGCGGCTGCACCTCCCGAAATCTCGCCTCCAACGCCGCGCCACCCTCGCCCGCCGGCCGAGCGCGGCAGCATGTCGCCAGCGCCGAGCTGGGCCCCGGCTTCATCGAGCTCAGGAGAGGGGCAGCCAGGGAGCCAGTCTGGGGGGAGGAGCCCGGCGTGAAGGTGAAGGCGGAGCACAGCAAAGCAGGTGAGCTCTTGGAAGAAGCAGAAGATGATGGCAGGTTGCTAATTAGTGACTCTGGGGTTTTTTTGTTGTTTTTTTTTTTTTGTTATTTTTTTTTTTCCTTTTTGTTCTTTCAACCGCCGCCTCTTCATTTAACAACCGTTCCTCCTCCCTCCCGAGTCCAGCTCATTAACTAGCCGTTGCCATTAGCAGACCTGCGTGAGTTAGTGACGCGCAGGCTAATTGTGTGGAAAGGATAGGCGTCAGGAACATTCGGAGGGCACTCAGGGTCCCCGAGGGCTCCACGCTGAGCACCTGAGCTCCTTCGCATCTCCCTGACTGTCAGTCTCTGAGGTGGAGTGGCCAGGTAAACATGTTTCTCCCTCCCTGTCATTCTCTGCACCCTGGACCTCAGAGACTGAATCCACATCTCCAAACCCCCCACCACCCACCCCCCCAAAAAACACGAACACACACAGAGGAGCGTGTCTCAGTATTCAGTGTGTTTTCCAGAGGGCGGCTGAAAGGCTCCTGTGTTAAACGGTCAGAGGATGCGAGGCAGGCAGATCGTGCTGGTTTCCTCGCTGTCATGACACTCTAACCGAGGACATTGCATCATGTGCGGCTCCTCTGCCATCTCCCGCTGTTCTGCCCCAGGCCGAGCCACCTGAGCTCCAGGGAATCTCCCTCTTCCTCCTCCTGCTTTTTCTTCATCTCACCCGTCTCTCTCCCTCGTCTTCTCCTGTATTTCCAGTCCTAACCCATCCCTCTCCTCTTCTTTCAATGGCACCAATTTTCTCTCCTCCTGCCTTACTTCCTGCTTTCCCTACTGCTGACTAAATGATCTTGATCTAATATTGTGTCTTTTTTAGGGTGGAGCCCATTAAACTCAATCAGAAATTCTTTATTTTCTTTTATAATTTAACTGAGATCCTTTTTGAAGAAGGGCTTTTCGTGTCCAGGTTTAAAAAAAAAAAAACCAACCAAAGAAAAAAGAAAAAAAAAACACGTGAAGGCCACGTTGTAGCTCTCGAAAACGGACAGAGCGTCTCGCTGCAGACTCGTGTAAGGTGTGAGTGCCCCCTTTGCACATTTTGAAACTCTCTCTGCCACAAGTTAGCAGTTCCTTCCTTTGTGTAACGCTCGAGGGACGGCTGCACGCACCATTTCCGTTTGTCCACAACCCCTCTTGTTTTGTTTCTTCTGTTTCAGTGTGCTCACCTCTCTTGCTCTGCCTCTCACTCTGAGGCACAGAAACACACCGGTTTAGTAATTTGGTGGCCTGCAGGATTATACAACAAACCTAACACGTGCATGAGGCGGAAGTGGAGAGCACGACAACATGTGAAAAATGCAAAAGAAGAAAAGCTTAGATTAGATTTTTTTTTTTTTTTTTTAAATTCAAGAATCTAGGTTGCTGCTTGTTTGGACATAAAAAAAAGTCTGAGCAGTGCGGCTTTAATTGGGCGTCCTGCTGGCCCTGAAAAGTTCTAGTTGATGTCTTGGTTTTACTCGAGCGACGAGCTGTTTTT